TCAGTCTTTTCTCGGCTGGAGCTTGCCGGTAAGACTCTCGCTGTTTTGGTAAGTCCCAGCAACACAAGTTACACGTCTCCCCAGGACACTAATAAGCCCCTAATTGTCTTCCGCTTCACACGGCTCGTACCATAGGTCTGACTTGGGGGAATTCTTCTAACGAGCGGCAGCCAGCACTCCCTGCGCCGCAGACGGACAGGGAGCCGCCTCCCGGGCACCGGCAGGAGAAGGGGGACGGGGAGAAACAGCCAGAAAAGCAATCCAGGCGCTGGGGCCCAGCTACGTGGCACGGGGCCAGGAGCTGGGCATCAGCCACACGGCACTGGGGACATGGGCCTTCTCCATCCTTTCTCCATCTCCACCGTCCACTTCCATGCCGGGATCCTGAATTCAGCTCTCTAGACTGTCTTATCCTCTGTCGTCTCCAGCGGTACACAGGTACTTGCACTTCCACACAGAAATGCACCACCAAAACCAAATGTCTGACTGCAAAGATTTGCCTCCAGTGTCTGCTAAGGCTTGCTGCGAGCTGCCCTTAGAGAAATGCTGCAGCTGGCATGGGTTTTTCTCCAGTGAGGCCTTGCCATGAGTCTGCCCCATAGTTAGGCACAGTTCAGTGTGTAAACAAGATCCCATCAGTTCTCATGTAAAAGAACACGGGCTGGGTATCAAGGACAGGTTTCTAAAGATTCTCACAAAATTATTAAAAGCATGAGTTGTGAGGTGGGTAGGAGACCCTAGCTCAAGGTCTCCTATCAAAACAAGGCAAAGAAAGACACATAGTCCCTCTAATTTTCAACCTGACACTTTCTTCAGAAAGCATCATCAACCAAATATTTTTCAGCAAAACATTTTCCCTAATTTTTGATTACAAGCTCATATTGAGCAAAATACCACTGCTGATCCTACTAAGGATACTTGTGGCCTGCAGATCCATTTGCCTTCTATGCAGTTGATTACAAACTGATCCCTTCTGCAAATCAGGGCTCACCCTGATTTCTCCCACAACGGGCCTCAACAGAAGCAATTTGTCCCATTTTTACATGTGCTATTTTGCCTTCAGTGTGCAAAGCAGGAGGAAAAACCTAAGACAGGGTGACAAGCTGATCCATACAGAGTACAAGAGAAAGACAGGTGCCATTGCTTTCTCTGAAAGGCAATTTGAGGTAATATATATACATATATATAGTATATGCATATAGTATATACATATATAACTATACTATATATAACTATATATAACTAAAGAGTTACTTTAATATAGAGAGAGGAAAACAAACTGAAAGCCATAATACCAGGCAGCCTGAGCATCTGTGCCCACTTGGGTTGCTCTTGGCCCTCATTCTCATGTAGCTGGTAAGCTCTCTTCCTGCCTTTTCATACATAGCCTGCTGTATTTTGGGCTATCGTAAAAGATGGCAAGTGGCAAATGGCTGCTTCAAATTTAGCTTAAAATTCTGTGATTAGGAAGAAAATTCTATGATAAGGAGCCTGCAATTTTTGAGAGGGAAATCTTCCCTCACATATAAGTGTCTGCAAGCACAAAATTTAATTACCCTATATTATTACGCCTACTCATCAGCTATGGGCCACAGAGCCAGCCTTTCAAGTGATACAGAACCAAGTCAAGTACTTTGTCCTCACAGAGATCTGGTCAATAAATAAGGTGCAAGGTCATTCTTATTACCCATTTTTTCTACTAGCAATTAAGTAAAGGCTTTCAAGCTCAGCCCTCTTCCTCTTTTCTGTTCCTTGCTGAGGTGTCTATAACAGAGACAGGCAGGGAGCATTCTGGCTTCACTGGTCACTGATCTGTATTATAGGAATCAGCAGGCAGGGCAGAGGTCAACCACACAAACCCAACAAGAAAACGCCTATTCTGTACACTCATCAGCTGCCTGGAGTCAGTCATCCTCCTCAAAGAGACACAACGGAAAAGGTCAAGTCTAAAAACCAGCAGTTTCAGTGGATGATGAAGTCAAGATGTGAAGGGACCCTGCCATGCTGAAAATCCAGCACAATCTAAATAAAATTGGCATTGTTGCACATATTGTATGCAGAATGTGGACTACACTCTATAACAACTGGATCAGTCTGGATCTCTGGCTACTTAACTTTTTAACTATCTTTATGTGGACTTTACGATTGGCCACAATGATTTGAGTTCAGAATATTGCATTTCACATCCTTCTGAACAAAATTCAAAGCACTGATGTAAAGACTGGCTTGCAGAAATAACATGTCTTTAGAATAGGTTTGATTCCAAGAAGCACTGCATTATGTAGAAACAAAAAGATTCAGTCTTTTTCCTTTCCCTACCCTTAATTTTGTCTCTCTTTTTAGATTTTTTTTTCTTGCCTTCTAAAAATACCAAGGTGCATCTCTTATCAGGGAATGTACGTTTGGCATCACATATGCAACACCTTTTGGATGTATCTGGCACCGTGGCTGATGTATATGCTGGGATGTGCACGTAGGGTGAGGACTTTGGTATTTTTGTGGTGGGAAGGTTTTGCTATAGTGGTAACAGAAATATGTTTACAAGATTTGCATTTGTTCTTCTAATAATTTTTATCCAGCTCAGAGTTGTTGCTCCATGGGAAGTTCCTGTCCAACTGTAATGCTCCTGGGCTGAAGATACAGAGACAACCTTCTAGAAAATTGTCTTTCAATGAATTATCATCTTCTACTACAGATTATTTAATGACTTGTTCAAAAGTGTCAGTATAGACTGGCACATGAAGATGGGGGTACAACACTGAGAGGATTATTTTCATGCTCTATCAAGTTTGTATGCCATGTTCAGATAGTTCACTTAATGATGTGACACGTTTTCTCACTACAAGTACCCTTATTGCCTGAGGTTCTTACTTAGGAGAAACTCAAACGTGAAGAAGCTTGAAGTTCTACACAAGAGATTGTACCTCTGGTGTTTTTGAATCACTGCTGGTTCCAGGGGAGCGCATGCATCACTTTCTGCAACAGTAATTTGCAAGTGGTCTTTTTCTTTTGATTATATATATCTAACAATTTATATTAGTTTAGAAGTACTACAGAAATGTTTATGAGAAGTTACTGAACTTTTGAGAGGCCAGGATTTCAGACCATGTGACAAAGACAAAATTTACCATTTTCACACACTGCATAGGCTGATGATGGAATTGCCAGGTGTCAATTCATCAGCACGAACTGGTTGGCATCACTGTTACTGTGATTTGGAAAAATCCTTGTTTGCCCAGTACTAGTTACTGTAGGTGAAGTGGATGAGATCAGCTGCAAATCTAGCTGATGATCCTCCTCTTAGAGATACTCAAGATTTAGGCCCCGATGCTGTGAAAGAAAACAGCAGAGTAACAAAATACAAGCTGCAATTAGGACGTACACACTTCACAGTATGTTTGCACTAAGAGTACTCTGCAATTGGTTATGTCTGCTCAGGCTGTAATAGAAGACAGACAACCGAACACTGAACACAAGGTGAACATAACCACGGAACAAAAACATAGTAGAACCTGAAAAAATCACGAGTAGTGCACAAAGAGCAAAGAAGAAAAAATCCAAACAACTGTTCCTGACAATAAAAGAAATGAAAGGTTCAAAACGGAATTATCAGGTAAGCAGATTTAAAACAACTTCCTTCCCCCCGTTTTTTGTTTATTTTTTTTGTTTTTAATTTTTTAACCTTTCTTTGTCTAACTGAATTATGGAACTCACTATCCTGGGGCATTTTTCAGGTCAGAAGTACAGACAAATTAGGACTAAGACAAATTTATGGAGGGTAGGGTCTACTATGGACCAGATTCAACTAAAACAGATTGCTGGATGCTGTATAACTTACCCTAATGCAAAATCACTGTGTAAGCCTTTTGTTTATATCCTTCCCTATCCTTCTACAACTGTTCATAAGCAAAGAGAAGATTACAGATAAGACTGGCTTGTGATTTAACTTGTAATAGCACCTTACATTTTTACGTAACATAAAAATCAGTAAATCCAGAATAAGGTTCCAACATTACCTCCAAAACAGATTAGTCAATTTTCACTAATCTGTCATTTCTAGGTGTCTTTTTGAGGGAAATATTAATCAAAGTTGAGAACTGTGAGTTACAGGACTATTACAAAATTGTTGATTTTGTAATGGGAAAACACTCAGTTAAATGGAGTATCATGTTATTCAACTGCCAGTGCACATAGACTTTTATTTTGATAATGATTTACATAATAAACAAGAATTTCTCCTCAGTTGGATTAGACAGCAAAGCATTTGATAGTCTAAAACTGAAGTGAATAGCCTTTATAACTGAATGTGTGTTTCACTGGCATTTAAAAGAAACCAAATAAATACTGAGTTTACTTCCAAGAAACTCACAGTAACATCTAATATACCAAAACATTAAAACACTTTATAAAACAATGCATCAGCTTGATTAATATTACCAAATCTTGATTTTCTTACACTCTTTATTCCCATCAGTAACAAAAAGTCACTCGGATTTTCTTGTATAGATAGATAACTGCATGGATGTCAGGAAGGATAGCACTGAAGGAAAAATAGGGTTCAAAAGGGTATGAAAACCCTTAGTAGCATTTGGATATTGGCAAATATTTATTTACTGATGGGAACGGAACATCCTCAGGTCAAACCCTGAGGTGGTGTCATGCAGATAAGTGAAGAAGAGCCTGAGGAATAGTATTGCCTAAGTGGCCAAGCAAAAGCTTTTGCATCTCAGAGGGCTATTTTGGAAACCCAGACAAACCTCTGAGATTTGCATTTGCATATTATTAAACCAAAAAGCAATAACAGACAGAAAAAAAAAATTGACTAACACACAAAAATACATATAAATATTGCCAATAAAAAATAACATCATTGACTCATCTCTACAGATGATAAGTACAAAATCAAAAAATATCACAATTCTAAAGCATATGTTAATGGCTGCCCTATAGAAGATGATTACTATGTATAATAAATGGAGATTTTTTTAATTTTTTTTTTAAACATATGTATGTTACTATAAACTATCTAAAGTTTGAAATTTCTTACTGCACATATCATAAAATACACATATACTTCCAGGACAAGCTTTCATATATTTTCCTATATCCTCCTTTCAGATCTCAATTCCTTAATGTGTTCGACCAAGAAACCTCTATAAAATGCACAAACTAATACTGGTGATACAGATTAAGTATTCTATTATGTCATATACGTGTTCATATATTACATATATAGTATACAAACTTAAATTTGCATTCCAAATCTATAATTCAATGCTTAAAGCTATATCAACATCAGTTTGCACCATTGGGTTTTCTTCTGTTCCTGAACTACCACTTGCAGATTCTCTTCTCATTCATCTGTCTTAATTCTCATGTTCTCAAGAGATGGAGCTCATGTTAAGCTCAGCCTGCATAAACTGTGAAGGATAGAAATAACTCTCTTAAGTCTTAAATCAGGCTCCTGATATTTCTAAATTTGTGCAGGGTCTTTTCAAGTTGTACGATTTAACTACTTAAACTTAGTTAACCTGAGCTGTCCAAAGCAAGCCTAATTCTGACTGGCAATAACCAAAACCACAGACTGCAAACCAAAGGGTCACCAGCAATTCAGTAAAACTCAGAAGTCTATTTGATAAAAAAAAAAATATCTCCCTCTTTATTGCACATGCACCCAAAAAGAGTCTCATCTCTCTGCAAAGCCAGAAAAATGCAGTGCTGTAAGGACAGCCTGTTACATGTACTATTTCCAAATAATTTCTCCTCTCGTATGTGACTACAGCCTGAGAAATTATGAGTTTTGAAAAGCCTGCATGGTAAAAGTAACATTATGTTAAGTTATGTTTCAAAATTATGTTGTATACTAAAAAAGAACATATTTACTAATGATTAAAATGTTGTTTTCTAGGAAAGAAAAAGTGGATGGAATGAAAAAAATTATTCTCTTAAATAAAACAAAAAGTCTGAACGTGCTCTATATCTCTTCCAAGGGGTGAATACATAAAAGCGCATGAACAGAAGAAAAAGGCATTAAACTGTAATCACAATGTTCTGAAAAGGACCAGTTCACAAAAGTTTCTATCTTAAAAATTCTGGTTTTGCAGGAAAGTAAAATTTTGAGGTGCTGGTTTATAAGCAATTAAAAATACCACAAAACATTATTTTCAGAAATACTGAGATCTTGTATTGGCAGACCATCTTCACAATGTGGCTAACAGTCCTGTTGTCACTTCTTGGAGTGATAACTGAAAACATTACCATCTTTCAACTTTGTAACTCCTTCCAGTTTCTGGCCCTGCAAGAAGCGAAAAACTGCAGACGACTGACAAAGCTGTTTCTTTGTGTACTGGCCAAAACTTCTGTGAGGACATCTTCCTTGAGACACAGTAATGCTTCTTACTTACTCCTGTGATCCCTTAGTTTCAATTCCACTTAGAGAACCACTTAGGGGTGAAGCTTCTGGCACACTGATGGTCTGGAGGTCTTCCTCGGATCACCAGCTGTGCTTCTCTGAAGGCAGTGAGCAACGGGAATCTAATGCAGAGACTGCACTCAGCTTCTACACTAAATGCATATGCTCCTGCTGAGCCAGCACTCTTAGTGAATCCACACCCCAAACTATGCTCAAATCCTTCAGCACAGACCTCACACACAGGAAATCAATGCATCTAAGAAAAAAAGACACACAAAAGGGTCAAGGCCTCATGATGGACACTGGCCAGTGTCAGATCTGCTGTGTACCTCAAACAGGCTGCCCCTGAGAGCAGCTGAATAAGGACACTGACTGTTCACTTTGAGCTGCTGATTGAAACAGGTGACTGTCACAGCATGCCAGGGCCAAGTCCTCCTGTTGGACATCCTATGGTCAGATGAAGTCCAAACTCCAGTGCAACCAAGTGCAGTCCTTGTGACCTGTGCACATTGTACGTTTCCCCCATAAAGACGAGCTGTGGAAGCAAAAAGAGATGTCTGCTTCTGAAGGTCTAGAGCAAGAGCTTTGTTCTTCTTAGACTTTCTGGGCTTCATCTGGATCTGCAGTACATAAAATGACCGAGTTGGGGTATTTTCATCCAAATGCTAGATGCAGCTACTTTTTGGGTTTCTCTAGGATGTTCAGGAATTTCCCTCGAGTCATTTCTCTAGCTGAAATCACAAGGGAGAAAAAAGAAATCAGTATTTTTTAAAAAGCCAAGAAACTCAAACAGTTGTATAATTTGTAAAATTGTATAACATATTTTAACCATAGGATAAGAAATTCATTTAGACTGTGCTTGTACCAAAACTAAGAATTATATTATTTATCTATTAAAGTGGAAAATAAATAGAACTGCATTTCAGCTTGAATTCCTGACATGCTACAAATGCAGGCAGGGTCTGGAATCTTCTAAACTCAGCAATAATTCCCACAGGCTGTCTCATTACATACAATCTATGCTTTCTATTCCTACTGCATTATGCTCTTGCAGCACCTCCTTTTCTCTGTACTATCCATCTCTGAATGGTGCAATCCAAATCTCTATCACTCTATCTCAGCACAATTGTTCCTGTATGTTATAATCTGTCAGAGATTATGGAACTCTCTCTGTTTCAGGATTATTGGTCCCTGGATGATGTGGTCTTCAACAGAAATTAGGCAGCATTTTCTCTCTCTCAGCAGTGTCAGTCCCTGGATGCTGTAATATAATGGGGTTTATATTCCTTCAATGCCGTTCATCTATGGATAGGGTAATAAAAGTAAAGTTTATAGAGCTTTGGTCTTCGCTTTCTCTCTGCGTTGTCAGTCCTTCGATGTTTAATACAGCAAGGCAAGGCTTATATGTCTCTCTCTCACTCTCAGTACCATCAATCTCTGGCAGAATACTACAGCAGGGTTTACACAGCCACTTTTCTGCATGAGACATTTCTGACTTGAGAACCTGTAAGCTCACAAGCTGGCAGAGCAGCCCTCATACTATTCTTGTCTTGCAATAACAATAACATGCATCAAAGACAACACCATTAGCAAATGAGGCCTGGAGAAAGACAATCTTCCCACTGGTGTCCCTCCATTTATTTTCAATAAAAGAGTAAGCTTTGTGCTGGACTAGCAGGCACCAAAACATGGAGGGCTTTATTCACAGGAATGCTGAAAGCATGCATGTTTCCCACACCTAGCCTCAAAGACAGTCTAGAAGGAGATAGGAATTAATTTTCTGTTTTATCCATTCAATTCCTGACTTGTCTACTGAGACAAACATCAGAAATTAAAATTAGCATAAAAACTGGAGATAGGTTTGTTGATGTTGGGTTTTCTTTTGACATTATTGATTATCTGTCAGAACAGAACTAAAATGTAATAAAAATGTTCAGCTTACAATACTCAGTGTGCACTCAGATAAAGACATTTTGTTATCGTTTACGTAAAAGTTAGAATTTGTGTCTTGAAGCCTCTCCTTTAAATTATTACATTCTAATTTGTTTACACAAAATTTTATCATGAGGTATTGTCATCAGCAAAATCCCTTTAAAATAATTAATTGTATGTAAAAGTATATAAAATACTGAGACTTGTAGGCTGCAAAGTCCACTGATCCTGAGTGGAACAAGCTTCAGACTGGCTGCAGGTTCAAGCAGATCACTGCACTATTTTCTTGCCTCATGCCTCAACTCCCAGGTGAGTTCTATCACCTGGGATCCTGCTTCTGATTCACAGCATGAACTACCAGAAAAGTACTCATTTTTACCTCTGCCTCCCCAGCCCCAAGATAACCTGTATGCTTTAAGTGCTGCTGAAGTGACACAGGGATAGAAGGTGCTGCAGAACAACAGAGCAGATAGGCATTTTGTCAGGAACTAAGTTGTTACGCACAAAGAACATGACTAAATAAAACTGAAAGCTTTTTAAATTTCAGCTTGGATGAGATTCTTAGTACTTAGTTCTTTGACACCTCCCTGCCTTGCTCCAACAACAGCGCTCGGTTTTAAAACATTCTTAAAGAGAAAAGCACGTAAACTGAACTGTAGTTGATAAAGTGGAAAGTTTTCCAGAGTGCAAGTCCCATACAGGAGATATACGGATGCATGACAATTCTGTTTCCCCAAAGAGGGCTGCACCCCATAAATCAGGCAGAGAGCATAGACTCCTTCTGTGTGCTGAGTGAAATTACTGTGGGTTGGAGGTTGCTCCAAGAGCACGTGCCTGCCTGTTCACTTGTCATCGAAGATGTTAACATTTCTGATTAATTCACAGACCTCTCATTTTATTCTTCATTCCTTTATCCTTGCTATCCTGTTCTGCTGCAGCTTAAAGATTCTTACCGACCTGCTACAATAATCACTACCCGCTTCCCCCCCCAACCTGGTGAAATTGTTTAGTGATGCCAACCGCGCTTTTAATTTGCAAGACATCAGACACAGAGGTAATTTATACCAACATCTGTTCATTTCTGACTTCTGAAACAAACTCGCACATGCTGCTACAAAATCCCATTAGGAGCAGGAGACAGCCTTCTGCTATTCTGTATTCCTCATCTCCTCACAGACTCAGGCTTGTAGCAGGGCTTTATTTTTAAAGATATGATGCCAAACTGAGAAAGAAAAAGGACCTTTAATCTTTGTATAGATATAAAAATGGCCGGGAAGTAACATCCTCATTTGACCGAAAAACCACAGCCAAGCTAAGGGCAAGTTTCCACAAGCATTAACAATCTTGTCTTCCCTGCTTCAGCTACTTCCCTTATCTGCCCAAGAACCACAGTTCAATATATTCCTGGTAATCACAGGCCAAATTTTTATTGCAAGGTACTGCGTTCAAACACAAGGCTATTCCTTCACCTTTGTTTCTTTTTAATCTGCGCTGGAGTATGATTTGATGGATTTTGCACAGTAAAAGGCTCTAATATTAAACTGACTTCTCTGCTCAGTATTGCTTCTGAGAAATGAATTCTTAATAATAGGAATATAATTTCCATTGGGGTCTTATGGAGCTTGCTGGAGTGAGGGAAGAGCTTGTGAATGAAGAAACCATCACCCACATTCCAAATACGATTGCAAGCTAAGGGAGATGGTAAAACCAGCTTTAAGCAACTACCCAAGGGACCAGCAGAAGCCATTTGAATAGTAGATAGAGGTGGATTTTTTAATTAAAAGGTTGGACAAAACTATAGTGAAAACCTCAGGGATTTTTTCTTTACAATGGTAGTTTAAACCATGGACTTCAAGGGAAGAGAGGGTCTGAGCACAGGTTTCATTGTACCAGCAGCCACACACTACAGAGGCTGCACAGCACAAAACAGAAACATGAATCTGCATGACGAGTCACGATTTACAACCTGGCCAACACTGTGCATCTACTACAACAGAAAAATCAACAATGGATACCATTGCAATAGCTTAGATGCAAATTAGCCTCACCTACTCGGGAGAAGGAAGACACTGAACTCCACAGAAAAAAAACACTTTAAGTTGATATCAGCATGGGTTGCTCCAGAAGTAGTGTTTGAATAAACTCCTTCAGATAAATGTATTGAAAAATGGTATCAGGCCATTATAATTAACAGAGAATGCTGTACTGTAGGAATTTATTTTGCTGCCTGGCAAGATCTGCCAAGCAGATCTCAAGAACAGGTATTGGATAGGAAAGGCTGGGGCTGAAAGGAGGAGGAGACATTTCTACTTGATAAGGGAGCAGAATAAGGTTTAATATAATCTCCTCTTTAGAACTTCAATCCCTCAATCCCACATTTAGCCTTGTTGCCTCAGGCGCCGTTTTTACTACAATTGTCCCCAAACTGCCTCTCCGCAGTAAATTTTGTGGTTGCTGGTTGAAAAGATTCAGTAGTACAGATTGATTTCCTACAAGTGAGGAGATGAGGGATTACCAAAAGCAGTCCTGGTTAACAGGATTGGATGCAGAATCTCCTGCTAGAGCAGCCCACTCTGCCAGTGCTTTGCATCCTTTCACTATGACATATGGGTTTCATTACACAAAGATTTTCCTGATTTTAACTTGGAGGCGATTACATTGGAAACTCAGAGCTATCTTTACATCTGTAGCAATTTAAAGGTTAAGTAACTTTTAATCAAATGACAAAGACTCATAATGTTTTTTCCTCGATTGAAAATGAAAACTGCTGTTCCGGATATTCCTTCCACTGACAATTTAATTAGAAAAAAACACTGCACTGGAGATTGGGGTCCAGCCTGATTGCTCCCCATAAAAAGCCTTCTCACACGTATGACAGCACAGGACATACTGTGTCATAAGGTCTGGATAGCCAGGAAATAATGGAAGGATTTACTGCTTTAAAATCAGCAAGGAAAACAGTGATTTATACTTACATAAGCAACTTTCATCCAGGAGAATCCCTAAGCAACTCACGTACATACACACTTTTTAAACATAATATACACTTAAATATATCCACAACGCACTTGAGGATAAAGTCTATGTAAAAGATATACGTGACAAACTGTATTTATCACACATCCATCTTGAACATTACACCTTCACTGCTTACTACTTCTGGGTTTATCTAAAAATCTCGAAACAAAGCTTGCAAGTATATCTTCAATTTATAGATACTTTAATATGAAGCACTTCTTCGCTTCTCTTCCAGATGTACAACTTATGGGACAAATTTGACTGTGATTCCTCTCTGACCTGAAAATACAGCCTTGCTGAAATCTAAAAGTCTTGCTACTAATAAAACCCAGAAATACAATTAATGTTTTTAGCTCTGAAGTGTCTTGCAGTATCACATTTTGAATGCTGCATTCTTGCCTCCAAAAAGGCTATTTTAGGCACTGCTATGCTTTGTTAGCTTATCAGTTATTCTTCTTCTTCAGTAGTATTTATGGTATCTAAAGAACCTGTTTTTCAGCATGGAAGGATTCCTCTAAAGTACTAATCATGCACTCTGAAAATACTGCTGTGTCCTTGGACTACATAGAAAACAAAACTAGAAAGGTTTATTTCTGAAGCACTGTCAATGCAAATTACCATTTTATGGCAAAGAATATGAATAGCAGAAAGACAGCCTAACAGTTCTCTGATTTTTAACCTTCTATCACAAGAGTCTGTTTCATCAGAAATGATTTCTTACATGCTGAGATACAATGTTAGGATAAGAAGACACAATGATTCTTTTTCTTAGTTGTCCGGG